ATGGTGCCCCCATAAACAAAGTCCTACATTTCATTCGAAATGTATGATTAATAAAGGGTTAATCCGAAGGGGAAGCACAATAGATATTAAAGGTCACGATGCAAGGGCCGGTTTTTATGGCTCACCCCTCATACTCAACTCATATGAATACAATTTAAATCACATAAAACTGATACACATTCTTCTATATCTAGGATTTTAATTTCATTATTAGGAATCAATTGACGGTTTAAACACTCATGTGTTGAAATTGAGGATACCTTGCATTGTGTACCTTGAAATNCAGGGGCTACCGGCAATTTAAAAGCCCGTCCGATAAAGGTTAAGAGGAGGAGGAATCGTCCTGAGGAGGCTCATGCGCATACCCTTCCTCATATTCTATGCGTAGCTGTGAACAGAAAGAAAAGTCTATTAATATTCTCAATTATTGCAATATTATCAAGATCACTGTAATTATATATACCATCTCTTCATCACCATAAAAGAAATCGCATGATAACCGGAAAGGAAGTACGTAATCATTTCCCAATGGAGGGAAATCCCGGCACTTGCTTTGAGACTACTATCCTCAATAAAATCTTTGCGGTTTTTATCAGACGCTCCTTGAATACTGTCCAATACTGAGGATACCTTGCATTGCGTACCCTGGAATTTATAAAAAAAAAATTAAAAATTACTTCTTACATGAGAAATCCGGTTCCCTTTGACGGCAATGTTGAAGGAATTGATGGTGATGTTGATGGAATTGTCCTGAGGCTCATCCTCTTCATGCACATTTCTGTCTTCATGATGCTCTCCAAGTAACTGTGAACAGAAAGAAACTTCTATTAATATTCTAAGTTACTGCAACATTAACAAGATCATTGTAATTATATATACCATCTCTTCGTCACCATAAAAGAAATCGCATGATAAGGAAAGGAAGTAATCATTTCCTAATGGAGGGAAATCACGCCACTTGCTTGGAGACTGCTATCCTGAACAAATCTTCGCAGTTTTATCAGACGCTCTGTGCATTCTGTCCAATTCATGATTCACCAACAGTAAATTCCATATACAGTGTGCCCAGATGAAGGTAAGGTAAACGATAAAGTTGTCCCTGTGCTTAACTAATTAAGCACTATGCCATGAGGACATATGGGGGAATGAGTGTATAGGTCCATATTTTGTTGACCTGGGCATTAGCTGGAGGTGAGTGGTCAGCTTCACCCCCGGTCTCTCTACCCCCGAGGAAAGGGCCCCCAGTACCCATTGGATAGGAGGCTGGGTGAGCCTATGACTTGGAGAAGTGAAAGATCTTGCCCCCACCATGACTCGGACTCCGACATCTTGGTAGTCTAGCCCCTTAGCCAGTCACTCTACCGACTGTGTTGTCCCGGCTCGTGTGGAACGGATATGTAGATCCAAATTTTCTCGACCTCTGCACTAGCTGGAAGTGAGTGGTCAGCTTCACGCCCCCTGCCGCTTTACCCCGAGGTAAAAAAGCCTTGGTAACCATTGGCTAGGAGGTTGGGTGGACCCCAGAGCCAGTCTGGACAACGTGGAGAAGAGAAAATTCTTGACCCTACCGGGACTCGAACTCTGGCCCCTCGGTTGTTCAGCCCGTAGTCAGTCGCTATAACGACTACTGAATCCTGGCTCCCCACACTCTAGAAGATAGGGATCAAAATTATGTAAATACTGGTGTCAAGTGGCATTAGGACATCTGAAGTTGAAGAGAGAAATTCATCTTATTTAAGATGCTACAAACAAGTATGAAGTAAAGAAAATAAAGAGATCCCACATGGAAAGAGTGGAAAATCGTTTCATAAGTTCTGCAGGTGTCTAGGTTGGTAAGTAAGTAAATAAATAAATAAATAAAGAAAGAAAGAAAGTAAGTAAAGCTATCCCTGTGCCAGGCCGTGGAGGCCCACAGGGTTGTGAGACGTTGAGGGTCCCACACTATCTAGGCAATCTGCTCAAAGATGGCGGTAAGGTTGTCAGCCTTACGCGCCTGCTGCACTTTACTCCCCAGAAAAATTATTTAATTCCTGGTACTCATTTCTGTTAGAAGCTGAGTAAATCGTTAGTAACCCCTCTTAAAAGTCATTTATTTATCCATACAGGTCTCTAATGTGCTTTATCTTTCTGATAGTCGCAAGCTCATAAATTTTATCATTCAGATATTCCCTCCTCTTATTTATGAAAGCACTGGTGGTTCAACTTCTTATATTCAGATTATAGACATTTAGTTCTCTTGAATACTGGAACCACTGAAATCTGGCTTGTTTCTTTTGGTCTATTAATTTTGACCATCCTTCATCGAGACATGGCTTATGCTTCTTCACTTCATAATACTGTGACATATTTGTGCTATGCAGGACACCACCCCTCCAGCGGTGACATAACAGCATCTGAGCCACAGCCACGGCTAGGGTAACAGGCCACTGTGAGGTCACGGGATACCACTGTTAACACAAGGCAACAGGGAACGGTATAAAAAGCCGGCTGAGCAGTATGTGAGCAAAGTAATGACAGACCCGACATCTCGTCAGAGAGGGCGCCCCAAATGGACAGGCCAGCAACTTTCACAAAGAAGAAAACATCTTGGGGCTTGACACCAAGACAGACAGACTGACCGACCGTCAGTTGCAACATGACTTTGACTTGATGTGAGCAGAGTGTGTGATTAGGAGTGACAAAGTGTGGATCGTGAAGTCACCGAGTAACCAGTCAGTTGCAGTCTAGCATTCGCCAGAACGAAAGGACACAGGAGAAGCAATTGTGATACTGCATCTTGCAGTAATTGCGATACTGAATTTGTAAATTATGTACGAGACAACCAACCCAGTCACAATAAAGATAGACCAAAAACAACTGGTGAATGTGAAATGTTTTAAATATTTGGGTGCCTTGTTAACACATGATGGAAGGTGTACGTGTGAAATTAAATCCAGGATTGCCATGGCAAAAGCTGCATTTAGCAAGAAGAAGAATTTTTTTACCAGCAAATTGGACTTAAATTTGGGAAAGAAACTAGTGAACTGCTACATTTGGAGCATAGCTCTGTATGGGGCTGAAACTTGGACACTTTGGGAAGTAGATCAGAAACACCTGGAATGCTTCTAAATGTGGTGTTGGAGAAGGATGGAGAAGATCAGCTGGACCGATTATGTGAGAAATGAAGAAGTGTTATTTAGAGAGAGGGAGCAGAGGAATATCATACACGAAATAAGAAAACTGAAAGCTAATTGGATTGGTCATATCTTACACAGTAACTGCCTTCTAAAAGAAGTTACTGAAGGAAAGATAGAGGGGCGGATAGAAGTGACCAGAAGACTAGGAAGAAGACGTAAGAAGATGCAGGATGACCTTGGGGACAGAAAAGGATATTCTCATTTGAAGGAGAAAGATCTAAATCGCATTAAGTGGAGGAACTGTTTTGGAAGAGACTGTGGACCTGTCGTCTTGACAGATTACTGATGAATGAATGTAAGAGCGAGTGTGGAATAAATTCGCTATATCCAAGACAGCATGAAGTTACATGTCGCGTTAAACACCCAGCACATGACAATACCCTAGACTCTTTTTGGCTGGTATTTTGATATTCTCTCTAATAGCTTCACAAGCACTATTAATATCCACCTCACTTCCTGACTTTTCCAAAGCTGTGAATGTAATTGACGTTTCAATACGACATTGCTCCTTGCCCTCTACCTCACTTATTTTCTATAGATTGAACGTCTCTGTATGAACGCTGTGCCTTGTTTGTTTCTAGTATTACTGCCTTCCTGGTTGGTGGGTTGTTACCATACTTGGTCCTAAACTTTCGTTGCACGTGTTGCACTTGTTTTTGTCGAATTCTAACACAAAGCCATGTTTGCAACCAACGGTGACTATCGGCAAATAGCGGAACATACAAACTTTCAGAGTTTCTCTTCAAAATGACATGTATATGATATCTGTATAATTTGTAGTTCTTGTGCAATAAATAGTTTAAAGTGTTCCCGGACATTATGTACGAGTACACCATGTATAAATTAAGGGGCTGTGGAAAATATAGTGAAACGACTAAGAGAAATGAGATATCTTCTTACATGGAGTGAGTGGGGGCACGAGGGAGTGTAGTTGGTTGAGGGGCTGTGCTACAAGCCGGAGGTCGCGGTTTCAAGTCCCGACGAGGTCATTAGATTTCTTTTTCAATTGACCTAATCCTTCCAGCTGCACTATGGCCCTGGGGTTGACTCAACCTCTAACATAAATGAGTACCAGGAATTAATTAAATAATTTTCGTGGGGAGTAAAGCGAGGCAAGTGCGTAAGGCTGACAACCTTATCGCCATCTTTAAGCCGATTGTTAGATAATGTGGGGCCCTCAACATCTCACAACCCTATGGGCATTCACGGTCTGTTACAGGGATAGATTTTTTTTTTTACTTGGAGCATGTTATGCTTTTTTGAGACGAGAATTGAAGAGGTTTGAACTGGAACTTAAATCAAGAGCTGGAGGCAAAAGGCAAATGGTTGAGAAGAATTGGCATCCGTCGTATAGAAGGCCAAGGTTTCTAGAGGCAACTGGTTATGGGACAGGTGACAGGGGGACCAGAGTTCGACTTCCAATGGGGCCAAGAATTTTGCCTTCTCCACGTCTTCCAGACATGATATGGGTGCCAGGCTATGAGGGCATTGCTGGGAATAAAACTGCAGATCAGCTGGCAAGAACAGGATCAGAAGAACCGTTCATAGAACCTGAACCACCAATGCGGTATCTCAATTGGAGTTGCCAAGACAGTGATCAGGGACTGGATTAGCAGAAATCACAAAAAAAAAGGGGTGGGGGAAGGAAAAGAAAAACAGTGGGAATCCACAACTGGACTCAAACAGGCAAAAGGGTTTATATCAGGACCATCTGCCAAAAGAATGAGGGACCTGTTAAAATTAAACAGAGATCAGTTAAGATGGGTGGTAGGATTACTTACTGGACACTGCCACCTAAAAGGGCGCCTTTTCAAACTGGGACTGTTAGATGACCCAAATTGTGAAAGGTGCCTACAAGAAGATGAATCAGCCCCACACACCAAAATTATGTAAATACTCGTGTCCAGCGGCATTAGGACATCTGAAGTTGAAGAGACAAATTCATCTTACTTAAGATGCTACAAACAAGTATGAATCACACTTGCCACAGCAACATTACAACAAGAGGATAAGGAGAGAGAAATGCGTGGTAACATGTGAAGTGTGGAAAACCCCACAATGCAACATCTCTTCATGGGCAATAAAACCGCATGTGTTGCTTCTAGTGACCACAATAGGTGTAGGAAGAAAACCAATACCGCACGTTGAAACCAATAGCATAAAATGTGACATGCAATGGAGTTGTTATGATTTAAAACTCTATTTTGTTCTGAAACCTTCTCCTGGCACTGCCAATTTTCATGAAGGTGTCCATTGGTGTAAGCTCAAAACAATATTTTTGCTGTATTTCAGGTTTCTACCAAGGTGGCCATTATAAACTATAGCCTCCAGGACACGCCATGCAGTCAGCCGAAAGTCAACAGACGTTTTGGAGGAACATATCGTCTCCATCCTCAGTTCAAACAGTGAGCGAAGTAAGAAACCAACATGAAGCACATGGCTTGCTGCTATGAACTACACTATGTATGGATATCTTCCAGAGAAGAGACTACTCAGGGGACTTAGGCATAGACCATATACGAGGTACTTCTATACGCTACATGGATTATACGTATTAAAATGCATTTTATGGAAACATCATATCAGACTGTGGATGGTTTCAGGCGGATCAAAGTAGGGCATAGTGGCGAATTATTGGGAACACGGTAATGAACCAACGGGTCCCATAAGGGGTTGGTAAGTTTTCAATTGGCTAAGCGGTCATTAGCTTCTCAAAAATATATTAATTTCACATGATTGAGATGTAAGTAGAACAGAATGTTGGTTATTAAGAGGAATGAGAGAGAAAGTATGACACATGGGAGATAGAAGCCTGGAGATGGAGAAAACAGAAGGAGAGATGGATGGTCAGCATGTCTTATTGGAATGTGCAGAACTAGGCATTAGAATTATTTTTGTCCTACAAAACGCAAGTGTCATGTTATACATACCAAGTTTCTTAAAGATGGGTTCAGGCATTCAAAATGTTATGGGGGGGGGGGAAAATTTGCAGAGACACAGACAGCAAGGTGATGTCATAAGCCTAATTTCATTTTTTGCAAAATATGGAAATTAGGCTAGAAACTGATAAACCCAATTGGTTCACAGCTCCTGTGTAATTCACTCACTCTTTCTATGGCTCAATGGTTCCTTGAACCTTGGCCACCTTTTCAGTTCCTTGATTGATGTACGGTTGGGAGGTCTCCTTGGACCGGGGATGGGCCCGTCATGAGGCCTCTGCCTGCATGCTGAGCGGCACAAGCACAGGGTAGGCGCGCACAACAGACATCCATGCTTTGAGTGAAGTTCAGGCCCATAGTCCCGGAGTTCTGGCGGGCGGCAACAGTTCGTGCCTCGGGCCGCGAGCCCCCCGTGATTGGTGTTAGTTAACTCACACAACCCTCTAATTTATAATTCATATTCAGTGTCAGTGAATTAAGCTGTACCAGTTGAAGTCTGTTACACGACGATTTACAACCATAAACTTTGACATTATTTTTAGCAACATAATAGTTCTCCGAAAACGTAGCCACATATGTAAGAACTACATCCAGGTCCATTGGGAGAGCTGCTGATATGATTCATAATCAGCACTTGGTTACTCTGCAACTCCATTTACAGATTCTAACATACAGTTTGCACATTATCGAAGCTTAATTGTCGGTAGCCATTTTTTTTCAAACATCACTAACCAGTTGCCTGTGTTAGATCTTTCATATATGATAACTGCCTTATTAATTTGGCTATGTGACCATGCGAATTTCATAAACTGCACTGTAAATACTACCTTGGATGTGCGAAGTCTGAAGAGAAGAAAGTGTGCCTGAGAAAAGCCTAATGAAAATAAATCAGAAGGTCCTGACTTGAAATATCAGATATCTTGAATGAAGTTTCCCTAAATTGCCGACAAATGGCTCCTTCCGTTGACATTCACCATTTGTCACTCCCAATCATCATAGTTATCACACTTATAAACATTGTAGTTGAAAATCATCGTTGAACAAAGCACAGTGCGAAATCAATGATTGGCATTTAGCCCATTTAAAGTGACAGCAACCAGGGTTCACTTAGGCCATGCTATAGCTCAACAGATAATCATCTGATTTGGCTACCCAGGTTCGACCCCAGATCAGATACTTTGGAAATTGTGGCGGAGAAAGTGGCACTGGCTCAGGTTGTCCCCGATTACTTCAGTTTCCCTTGCCAATTCACATTCCACCAAAATGTTTCATACTCGTCTTATCATCTGGGGCCGTTACAATAGGTCCACTAATGATCAACATGCCAAGTAGACTCAGTCTCACCTTGCCACATGGAAGAAAAAACTAGGGTTAACATCCAGGTATGTTGTTGTTCTTTAAGAACAACACCAGCGAACAGTTTGTTTAGGACATATGACTGCAATCACCGTGTAGCGGCTTTTCAAACTCTTCAAAGCCTATTTGAGCCGTACTGATCTTTTGGTTTTGAAGAGACCTTTACTGGCTATGCTGTTTCATCTATAATTAGAAGCTTGCTTCGTGAGGACGAGCTGGTCTAAGTAGTGATGACACATATCGGCAGCATTGTGCATAGGCCAGTCAGATTTGATTTCTTGCACCTGAATGTTGAAAGCTATGAGCCAACAATAAAATTATACCCAGACAAGCCGTAAACTTCATTTCGGTTTGCGGAAGTCAGATTACCGCAGCGGACATATCATATTATTCGACATAGTCTCATTCCAGTTCGAGCCTCATATCAGTATTCAGAGTGCTAAGTGAAATTAAACTTGTAGAAAGTAAAAACTAAGAAAAGCTGATTCTCATCATACACCATGTTCCACCATTAACAATAACCTGACTTCTCGCATGTCGGCAGTGCTGAGTAATCTAAGAAACTGTAACACTATTCAACTGCATGTAACAAACTACTGTGGTTAAATAAAGTCATTAATATGTGAATCAGCACTTTCTGTTCTGATTCCTCACGAGTGTGATAACCAAAACATGGATGTCAACATCATACGCGGAAAAGCATTCGGTTCTAGGACAAAGAAAGAAAAAACAAAAACTGAGGAACTATAGGTAGTTTGTTGCATGTAAGTTGTCCTGGAAAGACACGCTCCTCCTAAGAGCGTAAGGAAAAGTAATTTCATGTTAAGGAGTGGGAATTTCTTTGATGCTTTTCTGAAACTTACCTTTAGCTTCAAATATTCACGTGCACGTTTTGCATGGTTGTGTATATCTAAAAAAAAAGGAAAGAAACGACTTCAGTACACTACACAGATATACACTTACAATCGAATTCCTGGCTTGTCACCATAATGTCAATTTGTTCATGTTCTGAACACAACACTTTGAGTTATTACATTCGTGGAGCAATACATATCCATTCATTACGAGGGGCGTTCAAGTTCTGAGGTCTCAGGACTGGGAGCAGATAGACACATGCGGTTTAGTTTAAAATACGTGTGCACTCTTTGTGAATGCGTGACAGAGATGGCAGCACTGTACAGCACATAGAGCTCTAGTCGTGGCGGTGAGTGTGAGGAGTGTTTTTGATACTTAAAATGGCGACGTTTTCGTTACAAGAACAGCGAGTAATCATTCGTTTTCTCCACTTGCATGGCACGACACCCATTGAAATTCATCGCCAGTTGAGTGAGACATGGTGATGGTGTTATGAATGTGAAAAATGTGCATTCGTGGGTGTGACAGCTCAAAGAAGGCCGAACGTCGTGTGACAACGAACCAAAACAATCTCGGCCTTGCACCAGCTGGTCTGACAACATGGTCGAGCGAGTTGAGAAAGTTGTTTTGGAGGATCGCTGATTGAGTGTGGAAAACATTGCCTCCAAAGTTGGCATTTCCATGGGATCTGTGCACACAATCCTGCATGAAGACCTGCGAATGCGGAAAGTGTCCTCCAGGTCGGTGCCATGAATGCTGGAGGACGACCACAAGGCTGCGCGCATGGCAATTTGCCAGGCGATGTTGACACGTGATGAAGGCATGAATGGGACTTTGTTTTCATCGATTGTGACAATGGATGAGACATGGATACCGTTTTCTTTCATCGATTGTGACAATGGATGAGACATGGATACCGTTTTTCAATCCTGAAACAAAGTGTCAATCAGCTCAATGGAAGCACACAGACTCACCACCACCAAAAAATTTCATGTAAGTGGCAGTGCTAAAAAATGATGGTGGCCATGTTTTGGGACAGCGATGGCGTAATCCTTACTCATTGCATTCCAAAGGGCACTACGGTGACAGGTGCATCCTACCAAGATGTTTTGAAGAACAAGCTCCTTCCAGCACTGTGAGAGAAATGGCCGGAAAAGGCTGCAAGTGTGCTCTTTCACCAGGACAATGCACCAGCGCATCGGGTGTACGCAATGCAGCAGTTTCTTCATGAAAACAACCTTGAAGTCGTTTCTCATGCTCCCTACTCACCTGACCTGGCTCCTAGCGATTTTTGGCTTTTCCCAACGATGAAAGACACTCTGCGTGGTCGCACATTCACCAGTCGTGTCGCTATTGCATCAGCGATTTTCGAGTGGTCAAAACAGACTCCTACAGAAGCGTTCATAGCGGCCATGGAATCATGGTGTCGACGTTGTGAAAAATGTATATGGCTGCAGGGAGATTACGTTGAAAAGTGACAGAAGCTTCAAATTTTTTGAATGCTTATTGTGTGAGAAAAAATCGGAGACCTTGGAACTTGAACACACAACATATTACCCAGCTGGGTGAACAGTGTTTGATTCAGTTCTGTTATATTCTGTGTACAACTGCTAGGTATACTTCCAATGAACTGAAGCAATTGGGCTTCACATTCTCAGTCTAAATGCTTTACTTGCACAGAGCAGTTTTGTTTGCACAGTCGATGGCTGTTATCTGTTTGCATTCCTTAAATTTGTCTACCCTTATCCTGGCATAATACTGCTTAGCTATATCTATTAACAAATACTTTGTTCTGACAATATAAATGCAAATTTTATCTCTATTTCTTATCTTAATTGTTAAGGGCAAAACATGGTACACACTGTATTTCACATGATTTTTTACAGGAAGATGAATGTCAAGTCACTGGGGAAGTCAGCTTGGTTTAATTTCATCTGATTCAAGATTTCAGCTTGTGTAATAACATGTGGCTAGAGAATGCCTGAAGCTCTTGTCTAGTTGCACCAAATGCTCATTTGCAACAAGCAGCATAGATGAGGAAGTATATATTTTCTTTATCTAATCACCATGTTCATTATTCTCCAACCTGTACGATCGTACACACTCATTCTCAAATACGTCTTGTAATGTCATATTTATAGATCTTAACGTCCATTTTACAATTGTTAACCTGTATTTTAGAAAGTTAAAAAGAAATCGGTCTGTTCCTTTTAAAAATCCAGAATTCTTTCTGTGTGATATGTTGCGTCTTCACTAGCCCATAGTACCAAACAAGATTTTGCTAATTACACCAGTGAAGTTAAAAACGCCTCTCTTATAACGCGATTGAGTAGCTTCATCTTCGATTCTGGTTAAATATTTTACAAGTAGTCTCATATTTTCTACTTCATTAAATACCTGATAGTATTAATAAAATCAGAGACTGTTATAATCACTTGTAGTTATGAGTTACAGTACATATGTNTCACAAATCATCACAGCAACGGCTAAGCTTTTCTCCAGCCTGCTTTGTCTTTATCAAGCGTTCCCTGGCAACGGCTTTAACAGCGGGGATTCTTCATCTTCACAAGTGATGAGGTTAGCTCTTTCTAAGGGACCCACCGGAGTAGCCACCCCCCATGAAATTGAGGACGGAAACAGATACAGTTTCCGAAATGTTGTGTTTTCTAGTTTCTAGAATACCAGGCGATGGACAAAGTCCAAAAACTCAATAATTATCAGTGGATGAGTGTCTGTGCCATCTCCATATGAAGGGAAACATCAGTAAGACATGGATCCAAAATTATTATGGGAGATGCGAAGGCGAAGATAGGAAAAGCTCCTATAGTATGTACAGTATGTGGGGGACTCGGCCTTCGCGATAAATTTAACAACAGAAAAATGACGGGCGATTTTGCAGTCACCGGAAACTTGGTTAAAAGTAGTACGATGTTTTCACCTAAGAGTGTCCGTAAGGAAAAATGGATGTCTTCCGATGGTCGGACAAGAAATTAAATTGACCATGTTATGATGGAATGAAGACATGGAAGTAGCCTTAACTGATGTGCGATCCTATAGAGGTGCCGAATGTAACTTTGATCACTTTATAGTAAAGCTAAATTACAGGACTGAAATATCAAGAGAACCAAAACCAAGTGCATGCAAGGTTGTGGCTTTCATACCAATATCCTATATGCATTCCTCTTCTCTCCCATTCGTACTACATGTCATGTCCATCTCATTCTGTTTGACCTGATCATTCTAATTATATTTGTCGAAGAGTACAAGTTATGGAGCTCCTCATTATGTAGTTTTTGCCTACCTTCTTTCACTTCATCTCTCTTCAGTCCAAATATTCTCCTCAACATCCTGTTCTCAAACACCCCGGCTCTATGTTCTTCCCTTAATGTCAGAGAGCAAGTTTCACACCCATACAGAACGACAGGCAAAATAATAATTTTGTCACAACGTCAATAAAAAGTCCGTCGAGTGTAACTATTTATAGATCACTTCTTTACCACTTCTGCCTTACATGTTTCGGTTTAATATAAAAACCATCATCAGAGGCACATAGTACAAGCAAGAAAACACTGCCGTTGTTTAAGATGTACACAGTTATGTTTGCTGCGTGAACGCTGCTACAATACGTCGACGTGTAAAAGCACAACACTTGTTAGGATTGTTGAATGCACGTTCAATTCTCACATCCATCCGAAACTGCCCNATTTTAAATATTTTAACATTGGCGTTTTAACTTGAGGGCAGTTTCGGATGGATGTGAGAATTGAACGTGCATTCAACAATCCTAACAAGTGTTGTGCTTTTACACGTCGACGTATTGTAGCAGCGTTCACGCAGCAAACATAACTGTGTACATCTTAAACAACGGCAGTGTTTTCTTGCTTGTACTATGTGCCTCTGATGATGGTTTTTATATTAAACCGAAACATGTAAGGCAGAAGTGGTAAAGAAGTGATCTATAAATAGTTACACTCGACGGACTTTTTATTGACGTTGTGATTGATAGTGTAACGGACCAAAAATGAAACAATTCAAAATAATAATTTTGTACTCATATATTCCAATTTTTATGATTTTAGACAGCAGACAAGAAACCAGAGGGACATGTATAAGATAAATCAACATTCTCACAAGATCCATGAACAACATGAAACACGAATATATTCACACCGCTGAAGACTGCGCTAATAGATCCCATAAGAAAGTTGAAATCAACGTTTTTACTGAATTTAATAGGGCGACTTCTTAAAATTTGAATTGTAATTGCAATATTAATTTTAGTTTGTGGTAGACTGTGCAGTAAAACAGTTTAGCATAGCGATAGATGCTGAAGATTGCACTAATAGGAGAGAGAGAGAGAGACACACACATTGTGCTAGTCCAAAATTCAACAGACATGAAACTGGTCACAAGCATAACACAAACAAACAAAGCAGAAAGACAATACAAAGCCAAACAAACACTGTAACTAATTATTCACTGTATGCTCCAAAAATTTATAAACTGTATAAAATGAGTTATCCACGAGATATGAAAATAAATTATTTTTAAAACTGATTCTATCATTTCTAAGGCTTTGAATGGTCTTTGGCAATCTATTGAACAGCCTAATACCAGTAAACACAGTGCCCATCTGGAAAAGAGGAAGATTTTAAGTTGGAATATAAATATGATTTTTTGCTTCTAGTGTTCAGGCCATGAACCTCTGAACACAAACAGAAATTATTTTGATTATCACAAACATCAAAGAAAAAATATATTCACATGATAATGGTAAAATATCTAATTTTTTAAAAAGACTTCTATATGAGTTTCTGGGTCCCACTCCCAATATGATCCTCATTACTTTCTTTTGTAATTTAAAAACTCTAGAATTATTAGTCGAATTGCCCCAGAGGACTATTCCATACTTAATTTAACTTAATTTATTCTTATATTCAAGTAGATCCAATTACAGGGTGAGAAACAAGTTGACACACCAACTACTTGCACCTTAAAAAGATTTATAACCAAAATATTCCTGTAAAGAATAAAAAGAATGTAAATATAAAAACTGTTTTAATTGTACCTCAAAACTCTTAATGTCACTCGATATATTCTTAATATTTTCTGGTAGATTATTATAGACCTTTATTCCTAAACAGTAAACTCCCTTTTGGTATTTACTCAAATTTACAAGAGGCTGATGTAGATTATTTTGCTGTCTGGTATTTATTCTATGAATCTCTGAATTTGCTATGAATTTGTTTCTATTTTTTATCACAGAGCATAGGAGATAGGATGTACTGAGATGCCAGTGGTAAGATTTCTAATTCTCTAAATAAGTTCCTGCATGAATCCCTCCTCCTGAGTCCCAATATAATTCTAATTATATTCTTTGCCTTCTAAATATTTTTATACTTTGGGTTGAGTTACCCCAAAAGGGTAAACCATAATTTATAATAGAATTAAAATAAGAGTGATAAACCATTTTAAGGTATTTATGGACGTGTATGGTTTAAGCGATCTTATTATGTAGCAGACTGCACTTAGTTTAGAACTAATATACTCAATGTGGTATTTCCAGCTCATTCTGTCATCAATGAATATTCCAAGAAATTTAATATTGGATATAGATTTAATTTGTTTATCATATACAATTTTTATTTCTGGCTGTAAATTGAATGTAGTGGGTTTTGTTAAAATTTATAGAAAGTTTGTTTACTTTGAACCATTCATTTATACTATGAAAAGCATTATTTATATTTACACAGAGATCACCATAGTTTGATCTTTTAACTAACAAACTAGCGTCATCTGCAAATAATATAGGTACAGTTTTATCATTTATAGTTTTGGGTAAATCGTTTATATAAATGAGAAATAACAATGATCCCAGAATTGAACCTTGCGGGACACCATGTCTAATTTTTCCCCATGTCGAAAATTCATTGAGATTAAGATTTATATTTGTAATTAAAACTCTTTGATATCTATTTCTGAAATAAGATTCAAGCCATAGTTTAGCTTTACCCTTTATCCCATAGAACTCCAATTTTGACAACAAAACCTCATGATTAACACAATTGAAGGCCTTTTCTAGGTCACAAAAAATGCCTCCTATTAAGTTTTTGCTGTTTAAGGTCTTGCAGATTTCATTCGCTAACTTGTATATAGCCTCATCTGTTGAAGATTTTGTTATAAAACCAAACTTTGTTCCACTAAAATGTTATTGTTATTTAAGTGCTCATAGCTTTTTCTAATACCTTAGAGAACGAAGTTAAAAGTGATATAGACATATAGTTGGAAATGTTTGTTTTTTCACCCTTTTTAAACAGTGGTCTTATTTCTGAGTATTTTAAACGATCTGGGAAAATTCCCTGTGATAATGAATTGTTGGATATGCGAGTCAAAGGGGAGCTAATGAAAAGGGAACTCATTCTTATACTTTAGTGGATATTTCATCATATCCATAAGAGTTTTTTGCTTTCAGAGATTTAATTACATTTTCAACTTCCTTAGTTGATAAACATTTAAGTTTAATATGTGGAAAGGGATTTATAAAAGTTTTCATTAAATACTGAATGGGATTAGTGTCTGGAAGGTAACTAATATTAGTATTATTTTGTTTATTTTTTGCATTTTTATTTTCAGCTACAGATAAAAAAATAATTGTTAAAGGTTTCCGCAATTACTTGCATTTCTATAATCCATTTTCCATCCACCTTTAATGTGCATATTTTTTCATCATGTGGCCCCTTATTAGCTTCTAATTTTACTATATTCCATATGGTCTTATTTTATATATTTGGAATTTTGAATTCTGTTATCATATTTTAGTTTTTTAGCTTCCTTAGATAAAATTTTACAGTATTTTTTATAATAGTTTAATTCTGAATTATTACTGTTTCTACATGACATATAGAGTACTATTTTATGTTTACAGGATGTTTTTATTCCTATAGCAATCCATTCACTTATTTCATTTGAAATTACTGGAGTAGTAAATTTTCAAGTAAGTGTCTAAAAAGGAATCAAACATTATATTAACATCATCACTAGAAAATGTTGAGTCCCATGTTTCATAACTTAGTTTAATTAAGAATTCATTTATTGTGTGTTTGTTTATTTTCCTTATTATTTTAAATTGTTTAGCATGTGTTTTCATGTTTATTGTTTTAAATGTTATGGATTGTGCATCATGATCAGACAATCCAGTTATTATAGGCCCTACAGAATAATTTTCCCTTCTAGTAATATCGATGAAAATATTATCAATGGCTGTAGCAGAATTTCCTTGAACTCTGGTGGGAAAATTTATCGTACTTATTAAATTATAAGTTTTCGATAAGTTATCTAACTTGTTTTTCTTTTCACTATCAAGAAGGTAATTTATATTAATATCCCCACAAATAATATATTCTTGTGTTGAGGTATATAGGTTTCTAAGTAATGTATCTAGTTAGGAATGTATCAATGTTTCCAGTCGGAGCTCTATATATTGTAATTATACACAGTCTGTTGGAGCTCAGGTTTAACTTAACAGGACATACCTCAAAATCTTCTTATTTACAATATTTTTTTAGGTCTATATTTACAAATTTCAAGCTTGTTCGTAGATAGATGCATACTCCTCCTTTTTCATACAAGGTTCTACAATATCATTTAATAGATTCCTGATGCCTTGTGGTAGATTACTCAATATCCTAATTCCTGAATAGTATACACCCTTCTGCACTTTAGCTAATTTATTGCATAGAAAATGTAAGTCAAAACCTTGTCTGGTGTTAATGCTGTGTATAGCAGAATTAAATTTAAATATACATGTATCTAAATTCTTAACAGAAACTGATACAGAAAATTTATATTGAGAATATAAGGGCAGATTTACAGAGTCCNTATCCTATACGCATTCGTCTCCCCCATTCATGCTACATGACCTGCCCACCTCATTCCCCTTGACTTGATCATTCTAATTATACTCGGAGAAGAGTACAAGTTATGAAGCTCCTCATTATGCAGTTTTCTCCAACCTCCTGTGACTTCATCTCTCTCTGGTCCAAATATCTTCCTCAACACCCTGTTCTCAAACACCCTCAGTCTATGTTCCTCCCTTAATGTCAGAGACCAAGTTTCACACCCATACAGAACCACTGGCAAAATTATAGTTTTGCATATTCTAATTTTTGTGTTTTTGGACAACAGACGAGAAGACAAAAGGTTCTAGACTGAATGGTAGCAAGCATTAACCGAGTTCAATCGCCTCTTAATTTCCTCCTGAATCAGGTTTCGATCTGTTATTGTTGTTCCCAAATATATGAACTGTGCCACATTTTCAAAACATCTGTTTCCTATCTTTATGTCATGATTTTGCCCTGCATTTTGGCAACGAGGCAGCAACATATACTTAGTTTTCTCAGTGTTTACTTCTAGAGGAACCTCTTTACTTGCATCAATTAAAGTTTCTGTGTTTTTGTTTATGGTATCTACATTATCACCCAGTAGATTCACATCATGGATGATTTAGCTCTAAAACCATACTGTTCTTGAGCAAGAATATTATTAGCATCAATATGATATTGAACTCTGTTGTAAATGACCTTTTCAAAAACTTTTTAAAAATATATCAGCAAGGATATTGGCCTATAATTGGTCATAACTGTCTTGTCTCCCTTTTTAAAAACAGGACTTATCTGTGAATATTTTAGTCGAGCAGGAAATATACCTAAACTCGATGATTTATTACATATGTAAGCTAATGGGGATAAAATGAAAGGCATCCTTATGTTTAGGATGTTTTGTGGAATCTCATCATATCCCTTAGAATTCTTCCATTTTAATGACTTGATTATATCTTTAATTTCTCTTTTAGTTACTGGAGTCATATTTATGTTTGGAAACATTTCTGTATACACCTCAAAAATGTAACTTAAGGAGTTAGATACATTAGTAGGTTTGTTAGATTGCATTTGATTTTGTACAGTGGAATGAAAGTAAGAAAAATACACTATCTGCAGGGTTTTTAAATTCATAAAATAAGATAAACTCCTAATTACAAATCAATTTAAATTTTAAAGGATTTTAAAATTAGAACTAAAGATTTTATAGTGCTAATTCAGGGTATCAAAATTAACGTGTGTAACAAAAATAATCTATAAACCAGACAGATATCAATGAAGTAGATGTTGATAATAACAAGGAAAGGAACAATGTGTTTTTAAATGTTAAATTTTAAACTAAGTGCAGTGTAACAGCAACGTGAGTGTATACACCTGATGATGGCTGTTTGAGGCCAAAACATGTAGTGTAAAGGAGAGCAAGATGAAGGACATATATTGTTTGCACTTGAGATGGAGTTTATATCATTTATTAACTGTAATACAAGAAATAATTGGGTTGCAAACAAAAAATGCTATTATTCCCCTGACATGAAAAAATTCTTTTCAGGAACATATTAAACAATCTACAGAAGCAAAGTTTTATCAGAACAATTCAAAGTGATAACACATGCAAGTACGATGAAAAAGAATGGAAAAAGAGAAGAAATTATAAGAAATAGAGAACCATGTCACAATATTTGATCAAGAAAGAGAACACAGTAATGGAATTAAAAGAATTTTCATTTCGTACATCCTATTGTGTTATATACAATTCTTCTTTATTAAGTTTGTCACCACAACAATACAGTGTTGAAGGCTAAATTAGCTTTGCTATATGTTTCGGCTATTCATAGCCATCATGTTTACACTAGTGAACTGCAATTGCGTAGTAAGTCTGGATACTTGACAATTATAATATAAAAAACACTTTATAAAAATTACAATGAAATACAAACTTATTATAAAACATGAGTTTTTCCATAAAATAAGGTTAAAACTATTCAAGTGGTAATCTATATCATGAAGTCGGTCGTAATCTTATATTTTCCCGTGGAATGTACCACTGTCCGTGGGAAAATAGAAGATTGCAACGACTGACTTCGTGATATAGATTATCACTTGAATAGTTTTAACCTTATTTACAGAAAAACTCTTGTTTTATAATAAGTTTATATTTCATTATTATATTTAAGCATCCTGTTGCACTCTATACGATAAATGATATAATGATACAAATTCCGTCCCAAATGCAAACAATATATTATGTGTCCTTGATCTTGTTCACCCACACTACATGTTTCGGCCACAGACGGCCATCATCAGGTGTATAACACTCACGTCACTGTCACACTGCACTCAGCCCAAAATTTAACATTTAAAACCCTTTCCTTGTTATTATCAACATCTACTTCGTTGATATCTGTCTGGATGTAGATCACTTTACACACGTTAATTCTGACGTACCTGTAGTAGCACTATAAAATCTTGTAGTTCTAATTTTGAAATCCTTTAAAATTTTTTTCTCCAAATTCCAAATTTAAAATTGTTAGGGTTACTCGCCCTATGTCTAAAGTGTTGTAGCGGCTAGTTCTTGTTCCCACACTGTATAGGTGTTATCTGTAATATATAAATATATTCGTATTATTATCTTGTGTACGTAATGTTTTCTTATGTGTTTATATTGTATTTGTACTTACCCTGTGTAGTCTTCCTGTGTGCGTGC